TTAGAAATTGCGTTTTAGATTTTGGTGGCATGTACGTGTATTTACCTCGTACTTTCCTTTTCAATATCATCTAAATATAGCCACACAACAATACATTTCCCAAGTCATTGAATTGCGATATTTCAAGGTGGGGGGCAAACACACACAGAAGGAGAGAGAATGACAGAGATGCAAAACCTTGTTTTGTCTCCTCTCCAAAACAGCAAAAGCAAAAGGCAACAGCAACAACAACAACAATGACAAATAACAGCTATAAACAGTCAGCAATTTTTCTTTTCAAGTGCAATGAACTTTTCTTTACTCAAGCGTTAACCACAAAAAACTTCATCTCCATTTGTGTCTCCATCTTCCATCTTCCAACTCCATCTCCGCTTTCCTCTTTTAACTCCATTTTCGTTGGATTATGCCGCATTGTCTTCCAATTGAAACTTCCGAGAGGGCAGGCAAAGTAATTGCCATCACCCCTTCATTCACTACTTCCACTTCTTCGTCTCCCTCTCTCTCTCTCTCTCTCTTTCACCCATTCTCGCACTTTAGCACTCCCACTCCGCCACTGCTCAGCATCATTTTCAAGTTCAAATGTAAAACATTACAAATGTTTTTATTGTTGTTGCCACTGCTGCTGCTGCTGGCTGTTGTTTGCCATTTCTCTTCCATCTTCAGATTAGATCATCGCCGCAAATCGGTGAGCTAAGCGCGGGCGTCGCGCACTGGAATACCTCTCCAAGTGGGCAGCGGGGTGTGCTGTGGGGCTGTGCCGTAGGGGCTATTACTCTAAGAAGATGACACCATTTGCCCCAATTGGAATGTTGTTTTGGGTGTGGAAGTGGGATTGAATGAGAACCATTCAGTCATAGCAGTTTGAAGCCAAATAAAATACTCTTCGAACTACTAAACTTTTCTCTACTCTACAGAAACCAAAATATAACCTAAAATCGAGTTAAATTTGAAATAAATTTGTATAGCAATTGGACGACATATCGTGATTCCGTTGAAGGAGTTGAAACTCGTTCCGTTTTTTTGTCTGATATCACCTGACTATGAAATTGGTTAACTTTGCTTTTCGGTTGCATTTCTCATGTGAATGCACTCATTGAAATTGAATTCGATTCACCTGCACTCACATCATACATCATACATCATCCAGCGTAATGCACTCGATGAGGTAATGGCAAGGCAATTCTCACGCTGCTTACTTTACGAGTGTCCCCCCCCCATTTCTCTACCATTCGTTGCGTATTTCGGTATTTGATTCGGTTTGGATATCACTCATACTCCAATCGGAGGAGGCTTAATTTTGTCATCGATATGGCTTTGTGTGGAGCTTGATTTAAGCATTTCTTTAGCTCTTCTTGGCCATTACCTCATCATCATTATCATCCATATAGCCGCATTTTGCTGGCATTATTCCCTCTCCACTTTGGGCTCTCTATCCGCTTTCAGATGTAAATTTCAAGGGTTGGATCAATAAACTTAAGCATTTTACGACCAATTTGCCGATGTTCATTGATTCGGTTCGACTCGGGTTCGATGGGATTCGCTTTGATTTTATTTGATTCCTTTTGATTATGCAAATGTATTCCATTCTGAATCCGTCCATCCACAAAGCACAAAGCACAGTGTAACAAGTGGAAGTTTGGTAAGAAAAAAAACAGCACACACAATCAGTGAAACAATACAGCAAAATGCAATGTCGTCATGTGTCGGTCCGTCAGTCCTGTTGTCTTTCTGTGTGTTTCTGCCTGGCCAACAGCCTGCACTTGGTTTTGATTTTGTTTCTTTTTGTGTTTTGTTGGCCAAAACCAAAACAGCAAGCAGCCAACTCCACTGCAATTGCAGTTGAACAACTTTACGCTCCATTCAGCATTAAAATTACTTTGTGCCACTTTCAAAGCTATTTCTACTACGAAAACAAAAACACACACCAGCAGCCCATTCTGTTTCTTCTCCTTTTTCGGGCCCCACAACAAAAGTTTTATTTATTTGCATTTGCCATTTGAAATGATGTGGGACTTGGACTGCAACTGGACCTCGAAACAGGTGGCATAGGCACAGTACGTATGGCAAACAATGAAGCTAAGGATCGGACAGACTGGCAGAAAGACAGAGAGCTAGAGTGAGGAATGTCGCAAATGTCACGATTGTCACGCTTCACACAGAAGTGAGAAGAGAGAACATGCACTGCACCAATTGATAACAGAGTAAAATGCAATAGAACGGAACGAAAACAACAAAAGGGAATGGAATGGGGCTATAGCTAATCTAAAAATAAGATGATATGCTAGGCTTCGATACAATTATGTGAAATTCTTCTAAAAGCCTCAAAGAGTAACATTGTGGCTATCGATTTTCTAATCGAGCCAGCGATAAATAATAATTCCCTGCCATAAGCTTGTTTCAATCTTTGCTGACTTGACCGTTAATCAAACCTGATTATAAGCAACATACAGCAGCAAATGCAATTTTCATGGGTTACTCGTACACTCGTACAGCAGCACACACCCATTAACATTAACACCTGTCATCCCGCGCTGTCACGTAAGCGGAAAAAATCGAAAACACTTTCAATATAATTGCAAAAATATTTGAAATCATATTCGTTGTCGGTCGATTGGCTCGGACCCGATCGGATCGGATCGGATCGGATCGGCCACCTCTGCTCCGATCGCTTTCCTTTCTTGGACACACAAGCAAAAGTTGGGGCGCACGGAGTGTGGGGTCTGTGATCTGCGTATGCCCCGGGAATTTAAATCATATTTCTCTCTGTTTGTACATGCCTAATTGTTTGCTTTTTGTGGCCATCCCGCTCTCTGTTTTTTTTCCCATTTTGTTTTGACGGCTCCGCGGAGGCCAATTTGATTTTCATTTCGATTCGATTAACGTTTGGCGCACGTAAAATATCAATCAACAACGAAACTAGGAATACCCTTGCACTCAGGTCAGGACCACAGGACCTATGTTCATGTATTGAGGCCAATAGTATACACCAAGCGAGATCAGAGATGAACTTTAAAAGCTCCCGAGCCTGAAGAGACATTAACCAAAAAGATGGATAGTATAAATATTCCATTCTCATTTTATTTGATCGCAAAACTCTTTTGTGGCAGTGTATCTCTTGATTGCAGGCGCTTGTTAATTTCTGACTAATATTTTTGGCTTTGTATGTGATTGGATTGGAATGGAGTGGACTGAGGTGGTTTGTATTGGATTAGATTGGATCAATTTCGGGCATTGGCAGCTACTCAAGCGTCCTATTTGTGGCTATTTGTTGGTGCTGTCGTTGTCGCAGTGGCTCTTTCCGCCAATTATTATGGCCGACAGGCCGTCTCCATCTCCGACTGCCATCCCCCCGTCCAAAAGTAGTTTGTCGTTATGTTCAGGTTTTGCCTATTCGTTTGTTTCTTTCTTCAACGTTTGAAATTTCACTTTTGTCTTGCCGGATTTGAACTGCGTTAGCTGTTAGTCCTAGGATCGAATCACGAAAGAGGGCCGCCACCAATCTGCGCAAAAATCCATCCGACTGCAGTTCGATCGGTAAATCGCTTTCTCTTTGGGCAATCATTTGACTGTGACCCACCAGGATGGACCAAAACAGAAGATACATGCCTAAATATGTATCCATTATGTATAAAGTCGAATAGCTAATGAAGACCAGTCACAGCCAACAAGGCAGAAAATAAGTGGAGAAACAAAAAACAAACTCTACCCAGATGGAGAACAGAGATACTCGTGCACGTGCTGGGGCAGCTTCTACAAGTAAGTGATCTCTCTCTGTGTCTCTGGGGTCTAGGCTCTGTCTACAGATCAGATCTCTCCACTCACCTGCTCTTACCCCGCCCTCTAATGCCACTCGCCAGAGCATAAGACATAGAAAACCTACAAAAAATGGAAACGAATACAAACCAATTTCAGAGACGCAACAGAAGCTGAGAACGAATAATCGATGCACTTCTGAGAGAGTCAGTGAATCCAGCTCCATGTCTTTCTGTAGCTTCGCATATTACTTTCAAGAATGAACCCCCAGTCCTTTGAGTTAGCTGAGTAACCCCTTTCCAGAACAGGGGCTAGAGTATTACATGGCTTTCAATTAGCCCGCATAAAGTCACGTCAAGTCACGACAAGTCGAGGCAAGTCAAGTTAAGTCAATTCAAGTGAGTTTTGCTGTTTGATGTCTAAATCAGAAGCTCCAAAGAAGATCCAAAACTCCCTCAAACTCATAGTCAAAACCATCTCTCTCTCTATCTGCATAAAACCCAACCCGAAACACATTCCCAAGTCAGTCTGACAAAAGTCTTAAGACAAAAAGAAACACCAATCTGAAGCCGAAGCCGAAGCCGAGACTGAGTCTGTGACTGTGACTGAATCTTAAATGTTTTGAGCAATGACCTTAAGACGTCTTTTCTTTTTTGTTGTTGTGGGTCGTGTGTGCATGCATGGAATTTCAGATGAGAGAGAACCGCTGGGGGAATGGAGAATCATAAATTACATAAGCAAAACAAAGCAAAGACAGGGGCAGATAGAATGCGGGAACGGTATCAGGATTTGAATTGGGAGCGCGATCGGAGAGGTACAGGACAGATACTCGAACAATAAGCCCAATATATCATCCATTGAATATTATTCTATATTCTGTATTCCGTTCACATTCCCAAGAACTTTGAGAACTGTCCAAAAGAATTTGATTGCTTTTATGCATAGAGAGATCCAAGAACTGTGAAAAGAGATCTGAGATCTCTTTAGCATTCGAATGAGTAGAGCAAAAAGAATGGACAGGGTGGGCCTTCAGCATGGGGCGGGCGGAGCTCAAAGTGGATAAGTGGGCAAACAATCGATGGTTAAACAGCTTGAAAGACAAACATTGACATTGAGGCAAACTGCTAGACCAGTTTAGACCCTGTTTACAACCAGTTGGGTGGGCCAGGTTCGGGCCACTAAATATCCGCCATAAATACATTCGTACTATAGTTAATCAAAAATTGTTTTGCTTTGGAGCAGCTCACCTTCTCAGCTAAATCAAATGTTAAATTCAAATATTCGTCGTTTGTTTTTGGCTAAAACGAATCGAAATACAAGTTTTTATTAACTCAATATTCAACACAGCAAAAAATTCAACTCGAACAAAAAAATATTCAAACACGCCCCAAAAGGGTTTCCAGCCTCGAAATCTTGTTGGGGAGCTTTCAACTGGAAGCTGCTTTTGAATTGCGGTTCTTCGGTTTCTGTTTTAATATTTTGTCTTCGGGTTTGGGGTGTTTGGGGGGACGGGGGTATTAATTTCGATTTCAGTTTTAATTTTGGATTTGGTCTACCAATTTCACGCACAGTTTGATCCAAAAGCAATACTGCACTCGCGACTCTCGAGCTGTTTGGAACGGAGAACGAACGAACGAACGAACGACTCTATTAAATCTCTGTGTCTGCGTTTCGTTGTTGCAGCTGCTGCGCCTGCGCCTCTTTCTCTTAATGCGACTTGCGACTTGACTGAGCTCGAACCGAAGACTGGCAAGTGCGGTTTTGGCTCGCCTCAGTCACAGTTACAGTCGGGTTCGTTGAGGCAGCGCGCCACACGAACGAAGCCAAGACGAAGACGAAGACAAGCCCGAAATCTTGGCTGTTCGTGCGTGCGCAAGTTGATCTCAACTCCCCCCAGGCCGTCCCCCAGTCAACCGCTCTATGAGTTTCTTGGGTCTGCTTGGGCCCAAAGCCCAGCCTTTGCTGTTGCGTGCGTGTGGCCCCGCACCATCACTATTTACCTTCGGTCGATCGTGCTTGTGCTGCTCCGTCTCCTCTCTCTCTCGGCGTTCCACTGGTTAACTTTTGACGAAACCGAAGTCTCGAGTCTCGGCCTGCTCGTGCGTGTGCCAGTCGACTATTCATACCCTTCCCCCCGTCTGTACTCTGTGCCGAGCTTGAGTAGCTTTGGCCTCTCGCCTCATTCCTTTTGCCGCTCTTTCCTGCTATCGAGCGTGTGTGGAAGGCGACAAAATGTCAAATGATCGCCAGCCACTTAGGACCTCCAGCTAGCAACTGGTTTTACAGTTGTTCCAGTTGTGATTGTGCCTGGGGCCCCTCAACCCAACCCTCAACCCCTTGGCCAATGATCGAATCAACCTGCTGAAATCTTTTTCATATAAACTTCTTATTTGTGCGGAGTTAAGGCTTGGGATGCCGCCGAATAATTTGAAAACTTAGAACAGTTACTTGCAGAAGCTTGGTAAAAAATTCGACATTTTCCAAATTGATTTCCTGCAGCCCACTGCGAGTACATCCCCATTCCATTGCTCCATCTCTAATGGCTCCTTTCTCCAATTATGACTATTATTTCCCCAATTTACGTCCGCTCTAACAACGGCCGATCGCCACGCCTCTTTCGTTTTAAGTGCACTCGAAGTGAGTCAAGGAGGAAGAGAGTCAGGCCCGAAGAGAATTCGATCAAAAGTGGAACTGGATCTTGGAATGCCGTCCAATGGCCTGGAACGGCAACGGCAATGGGAATAGTAGAAATGGGAACGGAATTGGGTACGGTTACAAAGTGGTGACACTCACGACACTTCCCTGCCACTGCCACTGCACTCCCCGCTACTGCACTTCTCACTCTCCCCTCTCTGGCTCTCCCTTGGAATGCGTTTGCAGTGGGGAAACTTTCTGCACTCCGTGGTGTAGAGGGGCGGAAGAGCTGTGGGGAGGAGACTTGCAATTGCAATTGGCCAAGCTGACCAGAAACCTGTTACCACTTTAAGGAAAAGCTCACTCTATCCAAAAATAGGTGAGAGATGGATTGAGAGAGAAAGAGAGAGAGACGAGGAGATGAAACCCCAATGATGCCTCTGTACAAAGGCTGGCACGTTGGGCAAGGGGACAAGGAGGCTTCATTTTGACGCTCAACGCTCGAGGAAAACCAGAAACAAGTTTTTCCAGTAGACGAAAGAGGAATCCGGCTCATCTGCAGCTGCTGGCTCGGGGCCACTGACGGAGGATGAGGATGGGGCGAGATGCTGAAAAAGTTGTCAAGAATCTCGGATGCGAATCGATCAATAACCTTTCAAATCAAATTGCAACAAAAAAGACACGATAGCAAACAGCCACTTACCAACTACATCGAAATGTGGATGATGATGATTAGGCCTCTGGGCGATCTATCCAGATTACCTATCGAGTCTGACAAGTCATTCCAAGAGACACACAAAAATGCTTATTTCAGTTTTCTTATGAAAACAATTGGTGTCTCTGATGGGTCTCTACTGGGATACGTTTAAAGGAGCATTCTCAGTCCTGTCAGTGTAGTTTTATGCATAATAATTACACTGCCAGATTTAATACCCAACACACCATTTTCATCTATGTAATCTTATGATTTATGTGTTTTTAAAATATGTACCCTCAAGTGATCTGCGAGTGAGCATTGATCATTGATACTCTAATGATCTGTCATAGATCTTCTCTCAGTTCTTATGTTCAACTTGAGTCTCCCACGCACCGAGTCAAACGTGGAAAAAGTTAGAGCAACAAATTCGTAAAGATTGAGTGGATAAGCATACTAATACTAACATGCACATAGATGTACATATGTACATTTGTATTTACATCTTTCACCTTATTGGAATAGTTGCTTTTGCATTTTCGAACACGTTTTTCGGTGTTTCGGTTTTTCGATTTTTCGTTATTTTTCTTGTTTTTTTTTGTTGTTGTGCGCATTGTTTGTTTTGTTGTTTTCCTTTTTCTTGTTTACATTTTTACGCAGCCTAAAGTCAGAGCGGGAGCGAAGGAGAAAGAGAGTCAGTGCAGGAAGGGGTGGGTGGCGGGCAGAAGAGAGACGGAAAACTGGTTTCCAACAGAGAGGTGCGCGTGGTCATTATTAAGCTTTGGTCTTGTCCGGTGGTAAGGGGAAAGCAGAGTGGAAGCAGTGGGGTTACAGGGCGAAACAAGTTTGATCGAATCCGAAACTCGACGCGCAGCCTGCTTCTGATCCTGCTGAGAATGATCCTGGGCACCCTTTCCATTACAATTATGTTTCAGTCTTCACACCTTCCCTTACATTTTTTGAACCATCTTTTTAGCTATTTCTGTTACTTGTTGGACACTCTTTCAGTTTGTTCAGCTTCTCTGACTGTCCCTTGGAAATTTTCAACTCAAATGGCAGGATTTTGATGTCAATTCATAGTCGGACTCTGCACGAACCTCTCCAGCGTGATCTTCCCTTTTCCATTCTCCACACTTCGTATCCATTTGCACTATTCTTTATGCTATTCTTTATTCACAAGCCGCTTACGTGCTAGACAAAAAAAACGAGAGAGCGAGCAGGGGGATTCCCTGGGCCTGAATCCTGGCCACCCTTAAGGGGGGGAGTTCTACCAGCTGCCGGCGTAGGCATTGGCCGAGGCCTTGGCATAGGCATTGCTGCTACTGCCGCCTCCACCGCCGCCACCGCACGGGTTGCAGCCTCCGTTGTTACCTCCACCACCTCCTCCTCCATAGCTGTAGCTGTTGGCGCTGCTGCTGGCATAGGATCCACTTCCTCCTCCGCCGCCACCGCCTGGGCGGAAGCCTCCTCCACCGCCACCGCCTGGATGGAAGCCTCCACCGCCTGGATGGAAGCCTCCACCGCCTGGATGGAAGCCTCCACCGCCGCCACTGGGTTGATGACCTCCGCCGCCGCTGTAGACTGGCTTCACCACATATATATCGATGGTGCCTCGGCCGCCACCTCCATGACCACCGCCGCCACCGCCCCAGCCTCCGCCTCCGCCTCCGCCTCCGCCACAGCCCCAGCCACCGCCTCCACCGCAGCCGCCATTGCCAACGAGGATTTTCTTCTTAAGCGCCAGCAGCGATGGCTGGACGAGACCCACGCAGATGGCCAGGATGAGCGCCCAGCAGCCGAGCAGCTTCCAGTGTCTCATGTTGAAGTTTTGTATTTTTGATCCTCACAAAACGGTGCGATTTCTTCTCGTCTCGTCTCGTCTCGTTCCGTTCTGTTCTGTTCTGCTCTTAACTTGATGAAGCCGCTGGCCAACTAATCGTGGATCCGTTCATGGCATTCCATTTTATAGAATCTCATCCTCCTCGTGGCTGTCCATTGTTTGGAACGGTGTGGACCGTATCGTATCGATGATGCGCTGGGTGCTTGTCAGATGCATTATCGTCATCGTTTCGGGCCCTCAGCGGCTCTCAGGCAATTGGCAGTGCATGAGTTGGTGGGGTTGGGAGATCTGGGGGTTCCAGCATTCGGGGGAGTCGTAATGCACACACAAAACAATATCAGACAGAATCCGCAAAACAGGTATTAACTATTAATTATCCACTCAATGGCCGGCGAAGCGCATCGAGCATGAAATGAGACACTTAAATACCCTGCTGACAGCCGCGAGGAATTGGATGTCCAATTTACCTATAAATAACAAATAATTTCTGATGTCTTCCAACAAATGAGTGACAAAAAAGGTGACCACTAATGTCACTTTTACGTCAGGGGAACCACCTTTAACTACATATCGCTGTTACTATAATTTCTCCATTAAATAATGCAAAATTTGATGATTGTGAAGAGCATTTTTGTCAAGCTTCACAACCCTTTAGGGTTAGGGCATCTGCAGTTATATGCATGACAAATGCTGGAAAATCCCTGTTACTAATAGAGAATACTCCATAGAGAATCATGCACATAACCAGAAAGTGAGGGAGAGAGAGCCTGGGGCAAGCAATGTACGTGGAGGAAATCTAAATTATCCAGGAATCCGCGAGTTAAAAGCTCAAGTACGCTCGTAAATGTGCAAATTACTCATCAGAATCTATCTCTTTTTTTACGAGTATCTCCCATATCTATAAAGATTCCCGCTCCATGCCACATCAGTGTTTGGGAACCGATGGGCAACGTCTCCGTCTCTTTTTGAATCAAAAAATCCCCCGATGTCAACCCCGATGGAAAAGCGGATATGCTATTTAAATTGGGGTATATTAAACTGGATTTTCTCGAGGGGGTTTTCGCGGTCTTCACATACATACAAAGCTTAAGAAAATGACTTTGCTTTGGAAGCGATCAAATCCACAAATATTTGAGGCTATGAATTCCCAAATGGAATCAACCAATCAATGTGCATTTGTTGGAATATCCTTATGGGTTGTGCAGTACAACCTGTGCTGCCCGTTTAGGTGTCCGCAAGCAAAACACAAATCCTTTGAAATGGAATATTTAATAAAAAATATACATAAGTATATATAGAGGCATGTTGCATCATCGTACACACATCAAATATATGTATATATATATATCTATATATGTATTCTGCTAGATTTATGTATACAAATATATTTTTTTTTTTTTTTTTGTTTGCTTCATTTCATATGACATTTTGGAATGATTATTTAATGCATTACATCAGTTGTTTTCGGTGTGGCGTGTATGTGGGTGTGCTGGTGTGTGAGTGTGTGTGTGTGTGTGTGTGTGTGTTTTGTGGGGGTTTGGGCATGTGTCTGATTTAATCGCTACATAGGCACGTCAGTTCTATTTGTTGATGCTGCTTCCAGTGGATCGTTTTCTTACATCTAAACGATTCTAAACATACATAAATATATTTTCATACGTACAGATACATAGATGTCTGCATACGTTTTCACTTTTGCATTTTATACAAAAACAAAACAAAAACACAGGCATTATAATAGTTTTAATCATAGGTTTTTATGAGCTTTTCGCTAATAAATATACATACATACTCGTACATAATCGAAAAAAAAACACAAAAATTCATTAATTTATTTGCACATAAATATGTGGCTATTACATAATACATAAATATGTATGTATGCACGTATGTATGTATGTATATAGTACATACTGTGTGTGTGTATAAAATACTATGCGTGTCTGTTGTATGCATATGTGTGTGTGTGTGTGTGTGTGTGTGTGTGGGAGGGAATCATTCATTGATCGTGATCCGAGTGATTGTTTGATTGATTTATTGCTGATGACTGTGCTAAAAGCAATTTGCAATTTTCCAATTTTACAAAAATATGTCAACATAAATATGTTATATATGAACCTTACTATCTATCTCTCTCTATCTCTCTCTCTTTCGCTCTCGCGCTCTCTGTTGCCTTCTTTCCAGCTTTCTTTCTCTATTTTTGCTATCTTTCTGTTACTTTCGTATATGTTGTACAAAATAAATCGCAGCAAAATGCACTTTCTTCCGACACAAACACAAAATGTCTAAAATATATAATCATTAAGCTTTTCTGTAAATAAATACAGGTTCTGAGTTTTGCTATCATTTGTTTTTGTCTCCTTGTTGCTCCTTTCGTTCGACGACTCTCGCGTTTTGCTTTGTTCATTTGTGGTGGTTTTACTCTTTTAACTAATAATTGGCTATAAATATTAACATTTGTATTATGTCTTGTTCGATGAGCGAGTGTGGGCAAAAGGGCAAAGTAAGGGGAGGTATACGAATCCAATAGGTTCAGAGTACTGTTCTGAATTCTCTGAATATATCAATTCATAATTTATAGAAATAAAATCAAATCTTATATGCTGTCTTCTCTGCTCAAATTTGTAATGTTTTCAAAGTGGGCAAAGCTATTCGGGTAAAACTGAATTCAGTTTACAGATCAGACAAGGGTACATTTATTCCATTGAGTTATTTGAGAATAACTCCATTTTCCCTACTTGGAAGTAATACATTGAAATAGCTAATTGCTTAGTTATTATTGTGCAAATTTTCATTTAAGCCAGTGCACGAATATATTTGTTCTATCAAATGTTCGCTGCAGGGGTGTTTTGTTCTTCTCATGAGACTTGAATTTTTAACTTGTGGTACAGTGAGTATTTAGTATGGCAAATATTCTGCAGCATGTTTGATCAATGTTTTGACTTATGTAAATATTGGGAGGTGGAATGCCATTCCAAGAACATGGCTTTGGACAAACAATTTCGAATTAAATGAACAATAAATAGACAGATGTAAACTATATTTAAAAGGCGAGACCAATCCAACACACAAATGTGATTACATTTTATGACGTGCGCATGACTTTTAGTATTTCGCTTTGATTGATGTTTATAACAGATATTTCAATAATTATACCCGGTACTCGAGGAGTAAATAGGGTATATTGTATTTGTGTGAATAACGGTTGTGTGTAACGCACAGAAGGAAACGTTTCCGACCCCATAAAGTATCTATATTCTTGATCAGCATCAATAGCTGAGTCGATAGAGCTGTCTGTCCGTCTTGTTTGTCTGCTAGTTCTCAGAGACTATAAGAGCTAGAGCCACCAAATTTTGGCTCCAGACTGCTGTATGCTTACACTGAAGCCAGTGTATTTTAAATTTAGCCTCGCCCCCTTCCGCCCCTGCAAAAGGGCGAAAACCTACCAAATCTACAGTTTTGAAAATACAAGAAAACTAAAAACGCCGTTCGGTAGGGATGGCCATATCTATCACATCACCAAATTATTATAGCCAGAATGAAGAAATTAATTTGCAGTGGCTAAACCCGCCCTGTCCCGCAGCTTTTGTTTTTTTTTTCACATTTTCTAATTCACACTCTGCTTCTGCTTCACTCGGCCTCTGCCGACTTTTAACCCACCCCGTCCAGCAGCTTATATTTGTTTTTTTTTGTGTGCGGGCGCTGCCTCCGCCGCGAGTCTGCGTGTGTGGGTCTAGGGAAGGGCGGCGAGCTAAGGGAGCGTGTTGGTGTGAGAAGTGTTGTAGATGTAGATGATGACAGATGAAGAAAAAATTTAAAATTTGACAAAAACACCGCTAAGATGCAGATGTAGTACTGAGTGCCGGGTATAAAAGTTGTGACGCGTAAGAAGCGTCTCACACGTCCCTTCTCGTTTTTTGATTGATTTTAACAATTATTTGTCGAAAAATTAATATCGTCGTAGTTAATTTTGTAATGGGAATGGGTTGTATGACATAAGACTTATCTGGGTGTCTTTTATCGCTTTATCGAGCGCTCTCACTGCATGTATTTCTCGTAATACCATCTTTTTTTTCAGATAAGACTCTTGGCAGAGTCTATTGCAAGCAAGCAGTGCACTTTGGCTAGTGATGGCCATCGCATGGGGTTGCAATTCACCTTAATTATCGGTAAATGAATATTACCTCGATTTTCAATACGATTTGAATAATTTAAAAACTAAAGCAAAGGCTCAATCTTAGTGATTTATTTCAGGTTATGAGGTTTCACTATGAGTTTGTATGGATTCTCTTCGTTCTCCCCCTCCTCGACTTTCCCCTTTTCTCATCCTGGCTATATTATATGTAACATATATTTAACTGTGTTCCTATCTTTAGTTTAGTGTTTTGTTTGTTTGTTATAATTGCACTTATGTTGCTATCTTTCTCATGTATTGTGTTCCCCTTTATATATGTATCTCTCTGCTGCTTCTGCATCTGCTGCAGCTCCTTGTCTCCTGCTCCTTCTCATTGTCTCTTGCTGCTGTTTGTTCTGCTTTCATTTGTTCTGTTTCTGTCTCTTTTTGTTTTTGATGTTTGATATACATTAACTTAACTTAAGTAAAGTTCAGTACTGAATAAATTGCATGCGTGCAAAGGAGTTAGAAGCCGTAAAAGCCAGCAATGCAAATTGGCGAGTTGGCCTCTCCATTTACCCCCACAAATGGCGACATGCAATTAATGAATATAAATAATTAAAATGTATGATCAAAACTAGCAACTAAATGCGTGTGTCTATAAAAGATGAAGCTGCCTGGACAAACACACACACACACATACACACACACACGAAGCGCGTGGAAATGGTTTTCCCTGGAATGAACACGCCCATTGCACAACTCTGGCTGTGGCTGCGTGGCTGTGTAGCTGTGTGTGTGTGAATTAGTGGGTATGTACGACATTCTAGGAATGCTTAGCATATATTTTGTATACATATACGCATGTATATCTAAGTTCTACCTATACATATACATATACACAAGTGTTTGTCTGGACGTTGATATGCAATGACTGCACCATCAAGTGGCCCATGCGACACCAAGCCAAAGCCTGTTACGAGGGGCACTGCCGCATGACGCGCGGCGCGATTAACCGAACCAGTGTATATCTCATATTGAATACAATTTCATATTGCAGAGAGCGTTCCACCCATCTCTGCCTCAAATACTTTATAAAAAATACAAATTGTGCCGAGCTATCCAACGTTTTTTCCTAATACCTAAAATTATGGAGCATGGTGCAGTTGTGCCAGGCGGTGCAGTGCGGTGCACGGAGAATGCCGATGAGGTGCCAGTAGGTGATGGTCATTCATTTAGCGCGTAAAGGCACTGAGAAAGTGTGGTCCGCCCATATCGAATTGCTGCTGCTCGTAGCCATCATCGACTCCGCCAAAGCTGTGGCTGCCACTTCCCCCTCCACCGCTGGCACCCACGCCCACACCCAATCCTCCCACTCCTCCGACTGCCAGCGCCGCTGCAACTGTGGCCGCTTTTATCTGGCTAATGGCCAGCATGGAGGGCTTGTCGCCTGGCTTCCAGCGACGATGAATGCCCATCGACTTGAGTTTCTGGCAGACGGACGATGGCGAAATGTTGATGCCCTTCTCGGCCAGCCGGGCCGACACTTTCCAATACTGGATGTTGCTATCCTCCTCGATCAGCTCGAGTATCTCCCGGGTGATGTTCTTGTCCCGTAGCTCCCGTTCGGCGGCTTTCAGGCGGCGTCGCGGCAGTGGCAACTTTGGTGGTGGCAGCTGACGGTGCTGCTGCTGGTGCGGTTGAGGCTGCTGTTGAAAGTGTGATGTGTCCGCTGGCGTCTGATGACGCAACTGTTGCTGTTGCCGCTGTTGTTGTTGCTGCTGTTGCTGCTGCTGCTGTTGCTGACGGATCAACTCCTGCCGCTGGCGCTGCTGCTTAATGCGCTCCATCTGCTCAAGTTGCTGCTGACGCTCTTGCCGCTCCTGCTGCGCCTTCTGCAATGCCTGTTGCCGCTGGTGTGCCTGCTGCAGTTCCTGCTCCTGCTGTGCCAATTGCTGCTCCTTGACGTTGGCTACATCTGTAACGCGCGAATCGTCGCCTAGCGCCGAATGGCGTCCGTCGGTGCGCTTGTTGCGATAGGAGAGCGGCACGCCCTTCAGTATGGCATCGCGCACCTTCCATGCCGTCATCTGCGATACGTTAAGCGCTCGGGCTATCTCCATGGTGGATGAATTCTGTGCCACCAGCAACTTGGCCATGGCGTACTTCTCGTCATCGATAAAGACGTTCGGCTTGCGCGGCTTCTTCGCCGAACCAGAACTAGAGCCCGACCCTGTCGCTGTTGAGATTGAGGCTGACGATGGCGTTGCTGTCGCTCCGACATGGGGCGTTGGGACGGCGACATTGGTGTTGCTGCTGTTGCTGCAGTTGCTGCGAGAATGGAGAGAGTTGAGAGCCGATTTATTAGCGGGGAAACCTTCACGGAACTGTGGACTGTGGACTCACCTCTCGTTGCTGTTCATGTGGGCCATGGAGCGTAGGGACAGGTTCACGGGTAGAGCATGGCTGCACCGGGGTGGAGAGACAAATTATAATTTAAATTCAATTCGAAAGGGGGATCGATCCTCTACTCTTATTTCAACTAATATTTCAAATAATTCAACAACTAATGTATTTACATTACACATACAAATCTTCTTCTCTTGCATCTGCCTGGTGTATTAAATGCTTGTCTCTAGCAGCAATCTGCAGCTCTCTTCTGTTTAATCTAAATAAAATGTATGTGTGCACTCCGATAGATCTAGAGAACTACAACTCACAGCTTATTTCACATTTAAGGTCCAAACATTATTACATTTTCTATACAAAATCTATTTTCCCGCTGATAACATTTTTTTGCAAACTGCTTGCACTGCTTGCCTGTGGAAGTCATGGAATGTTTGGCATTCCATGCACAGTAACACCGTTACTTGAACCTAGGGGACATGTGAAAAATCGAAGCAGAGCAGATAGCTTCGGGAAGTCGATTTATGCTCTAAATATGCTTAAGCGCCGCAGGGTATGTCCATAGTTAAATTCTCTCTTCGCTCCACCACTATCACCACTGTCTCTGCCAGTCAATTTTAACTGCTTTGAGTCTTTATTTCTTGCGTTGATTGCTTGCTGCGTGAAATGCACTGCTTTCTAGAACTGATTTTACAGAGATGCTAAATTGCAACATACGTGACGGCGGGCGGATAACGGGTGAGCAGCGGCATTGCTCCATTGTGGGCTGGCTTCTGCTGATGATGCTGTAGCTGCTCCCGATGCTGCTGCTGTTGCTGGTGCAGCTGCAACTGCTGGGCGTTGACGATGTGTGGAAAATGCTGCGACTCGGCCAGCAGACGCTTGTAGACCTCGACAGTGGGTCGCGAAGGCACATGCACTGGCACCTGAGACGGAGCCGTGGCCAATGGCGGGGGCGGGAGCGAGACAGAGTTGGCCCCGCCCGTATTGGAATGACGCTCGTTTTCGTTGCCCTCGTAGGAGTCGTGCTCGACGGGATCAGAGTCCGGATCGGGGTCTTCCAGCTGGCCGCGCATATCGTATCCATTGTGGAGCAGACTGCACACAGCATCCTCGTCGCCCATGTAGCCGGCCGTCTCTTCTGCACCAATCTCATCCGCGCCGCACTCGTCGCCCAAGGCCAGCGAGCTGTGGAGCTGGTGCTGATGCTGAGGGTGAGGGTGGTGGAGCTGCTGCTGTTCCTGCTGCTCCTCATCATCGCTGTCCTGTCGCTCCTCCTTGATCAGGCCCAGGCCAAGGTGGCCATAGGGCAGACTCAGATGCTGATGCTCCCGCTCCCGCTCAGCTGCTGCCGCAATGGCAGCTGCAGCCTCTTCCTGCTGCTGCTGCATGGCGTGGATATGCTGCTGGTGTTGCTGCTGGAGCTGCTCCTCAGCGGCCTGGTCCACCACACGCTCGTGCAGACTGACTCCGTTGACGAGGCTCTTGCGCAGACGCCAGGCAAAAGTGCGCGAAATGTTCAGCTCGTTGGCGATTACCGTGGTGGTGGCCTCACGCAGGATTAGTTGCTTGGCCAGGGCGATTTTCTTGGCGTCCAGCTTGATGCGAGTGCGCCCCTTCCGCTTGTTAACCAAGCCCAGTCTGAAAGTTAGCGACAAACGGTCGTCAATTAATGTGTCAGGTTATTAGGTAAACCTCGCTGGCACTCACTTGCGGCTGTTCACGTGCAGATCTGGTGCTGTTGGCTTACGTGCTGGCCCTGATCCTGTTCCTGTTCCTGCCCCAGCTCCAGCTCCTCCACCTGTTCCGCCTCCAGTGGCTGGGACACGCTTGGGGAAGTTGTTAAACTGCACAATGTTCTGTTTAAAGAGCTGCTGCAGCGGCCTGCGTATACAAGAAGAAAGGAAAGTCAGTACAGGCTAACAGCACAGACTATGGGGTATCCGCTCACATCTTGGCAGCCTTGGAGGGACATCCGGTGCGCTTGTGCCAGCCCAGATGGTGGCCCGTTGGGAAGAGGACATGGCAGTCCGAACATTGCATGGGCCGACTGTAACCAAAGAGAGAGAGAGAGAAGCGCGTTATTACTGGGACTCCGACGAGCATTCTGCACTTACGTTTGGTTGCGCCGCTTCTTTACGCAACGACCACGCCGGATGTGCTTCTCCAGGAAACGCTTGTAGAAGTAGGTCTTGCGGCAATTGCTACACTCGTAGACGGGCCCCGGAGCCCCGTGGACGCTCTGCATGTGCGCCTTAAGGATCTGTTTCATGTCAAAGGTCTGGTAGCAGTGCGGACACTGGAATCCTGGTGTACCGCGCATCACCTGTTGTCCAGCCTCATGGGCCGCCGCCGCCATGGCCTCTGAGTGATCGGCAGCCATGTCTGGGCCGATCATAGAATCATCGCCGGGCGTAATCAGCTCGATTTCGGGTATCAGTGGCAGTGTCATCTCCTCGTCATCGTCATCCTCATCCACTTCGTGCTGATGGTCGAGATCCTGGTCGTGGCCAGGCAAACCGGCGCCATTGGGGAACTTATTCATCTGGTGCTGCATGTACTCCTGCATCAGGCGGATCGAGTTAAAGTCGAACGGCTCCTTGGGGTGGCCATCTTGGACAGTTATCTCGCCATCGTCGTGCTGGTCGGGTGACTCTCCATGGTGCATCACCGCCAAGTCCTCGTCTTCCCCATCGCCCAAACCCAGACCCACACCATTGCTGAGCTCAATGCCTGACTGATCCTGCTGCTCGTTATCGAGCAGTGGCCTCTGCCCATCATCCAGATCAAACTGATGCTGCTGCTCCTCCTGCTCCTCATCCTCCGCATCCTCTTCATTGGGATCCTCAACCAGGTTCCCGTTAATGGCATGCCCATGACCATTCTGTAGGCGCTCCTCAGACTCCCCAGCAGCGCTCGCATTATCATGATCATCTTCATTGCCATTGCCATTTGCGTTATCATTGTCCTCATCTTCGTCATCGTCGGAGCTGCTGCTGGAGGAGCTACTTCCGCTTCCGGTGCCACTGCCACTGCCGCTGCCGCTGGCGGTGCCACTGCTGCTGGCAGTGCTGCAGCCTCTGCTCTTTGCCCGATCCCCCGATCCGGCTTCCTCTTTTCGGTTTTCTCCTCCCGCCTTCTGCCTCTCCGCGTCGCCCTCGATCTTCTTCAGCAGTAGTTGCTGGCGGTAAAAGTTGTCCGCATCCTCGCACTTCTTCTTGAACAGACAGGCCGAGATCGCTGTCTTGGCGCACTCCACGCAGACCTGCTGCGGCAATGTGTCGTTCTTACTGATCTGTAACAAAAGAAGAAAATGCAAAATCAGGTCAATTATTGATCAAAACTTTACAAATTGCAGCTCTTCCAAGAAAGAATTCCAAAAGTTGAATAAGTAGAGCGTTGCCAAATCGATTGGTGACGAGTGCAAGGCGTTAGGACATTTTTGTTTACCAAATATCTAACGGTTTTCACAAACATTTCTGTGTAGTGGTGCAAACTTTTTTAAACAAAACAAAAGTGAGAGAATTCAAATGAATGGAAAATACAAATTTATAAGCTACGAGCGACAAGGGACCCTAGGCTCTACTCCACTCCTTTCCCTACCCACAGCAAACCGCACACGGCACATGTAAATGTGTAAATATTAATTTATGTACATACATACATAAGTATGTATTAGCACGTTTGTAAGCCAACCCAATGGACGGGGCCAACGAACGTCTAAGCTGGAGTCGACCTAACGTAAAGTAGGAAACAAGAGGGGGGAGGGAGGCCGAAGAACAAAGCCAGCGAGAGAGGCAGAGCGAGAGAAGTCGACGGCATGGCTCTCTTGGAAAAGAAAAATGTATGGAATTAAACCAAACATATGAATTATACATACAAACAAACAACAAAAGCAAACACAAAATACCAAAGAAATATGTACATGCATGTGTACGCAAGTGTGTGTGTGTGCTCAAGAGGAAGGAGGAGGGGGAAAATAAAAGGTAGGCAACACACACACACAAATAGCAATTCAAACGGTAATTTATTTTACAAAAGCCGAAGCTAAAGAAACGAAACGAAACGAAGAAATACGAAATTTAGTCTAAAAAGCAAAACAGTTTCAAGACACAAAACGAAAAATTGGCAAATATTTGTTAATAAAATTGTATATGTACATATTTACATGCATACGTGCATACATAGATTGAAAAAAATAACAAAATTCTTTAAAATATGCAGAGACGAAATCAAAGCCGAACCCCAAATAGTAAGTAACAAACCGAACAAATAAAAAAGAATAACAAAAATTTGTGCCTGTTGGAGTGCCAACGAGCGGGGAAGGAGGGGTAGCGTACGAGATACAAGCAATGAAAACTGATGCCAAAAATATGTACTTATGTACACACATGTGAAAATTAATACGAATGAATAATAAACAACGTTTGTAAAAAACTTCTCAGTATCTGTTTTTCTTGGCATTTTGATATTCCACGAAGGTGAGCCATTTTTTCATTGCGTTTAATCTTGGGTTACGCACGTACATACATGTGTACATATGTACATACATACAGTGGGACAGTGATGAAAAACAGTTGATGCCAATAATGATAGTGATTGTAGATGGGGACTACATAATTTCTGCCTCTAAGCCAGGCGTAAGGAGAGCACAGCATTTTGGACCGAACTGTGTCGGCATGTTAGAGTGCTTAAAGCTAATGCCTACAAGTTTATTTGACGCATTTAACATCCTAATTTAAGTAGACCCTTAGATTTGTAAACATCCATACATTGCACACTCAATTTCCCACTGTAATGGCGCGGGCACACCAAAAGCCGAAAGCGGGGCCAATAAAAGTTCTGAAATAAAGCAAGCCCACTGCAACGGTGCAACGGTGCAGCGGTGCACGTGCGCACACTGTTCGTTTGGCTGTGCTGAGAACTTTGAAAGCTCTTCCAAAAGGGGTCGGTCAGCTTTGTTTAATCGAACAAGCAGTGTTTTGGCTTTATCAGCTGAGAGAGTGTGTCTGATATCTACAATCAATACATGTAAATACATACACAATGTACATACATATGTACACACAGATGTCAGAAACCAACTACCGGCCCACTAATCAAGCTACGGGAAGCGCTCTCTCGCATTACATATAATTATACTCGGCTCTCACCTGGACGTTGGCCAGTGTGGTTATCTTCTGCCAGAGCGAGTCCTCGCCGAATATTGAAATCATTTGCATGGGACTGCCGCTCGCGTGAGAGCCGATGCAAATACGACATAGCTCGTCGTCCATGGTGAATGCACTCCAGTCGCAGTCCCAGTCCCCGGCTCCGTCCCCTTCTCAGTTGAATGGTGGATGCTGCTCTTTAGGTCGTCGTCAGCTGTTAGAGCGGAAGTGGAGTTGGAGTGTGACCAGCTTCCTGTCAACTGCATGCCAGAGTTGTCACCCTCACGCGACCAGCCGCCGCCTCTTTCTGCACGATACGGCGTGATTTGGGTGGTGGTAAGTATAAGAAGAGCAACAAGTGGCGCACAAGAACACAGATTTATGGAGCCAATGGTCCCTTTTGGACTGTCTGGCAGTGGATTGTAAACTGAAATGAAAGAAAACTATTTATTAATAATGAAACGAACAAAAACTGTGCACAAAACAGAATATGATATGAGCTCAAAATGGCAAGGGCAGGGGAGGGAATGTGCTGGGGCTGACTTTAAAGTAGGATGGAAACACAAAACGTAAAAGAAAACTAAATAAAAAGTTAACAACTAAGAAATATGCACACACACACGCACACACAGAGAGAACAGTGACAACCACCACACATTCGCTGCTACTCTTTTACTCCCCTTGCGGGTACCCACAAACATTTATACATACATAAATATACATACATGCATATGTACATACATATTTATTGTGTGGATTCCAGAAACAACAAAAAGCAATTCTTACTGCCTTTGCCGCATACAAAAAGTTTATGAACTTGATACACACACTCATACACCGAGATAAACACACGAACACGAAAATAAAATTACACAAAAGAAAACAAGTCGAAACTAAAAAATAACATTCACACAGACACAAGCAATGACAAAGAGAGCGAGTGAGAGAGACAAAAACAAATAATAATAGAAAAAAATCGTAACGAAACGAAATGAAATAAAACTCTATATCTATGAGAAAGAGTCGAAGAAGGGGTAGGGGTGTTTGGGGAGGGCAGCTGTAGAAGGTTCCACACAAAGCACATAAAACTACGACATTTATTGTTTCTCTTTCTTTCTCTCTCTCTGTCTCTGTCTACACCATTCAATTGTGCGTAGTGGTCAGAGGGAAGTGGGGAAAACTAGTTGGAAAATCAAGTGAACTTTTACACTCGATGACATTAGAAGCAATTCGATCAATTAATCGTAACAAGTCATCGAACTATTAATGTTTCTCCTTCATTCATCATGCATATTCATCACTCTTTTCTGGTTTTAATTATTTAAGAAAATCCTTATCCTTATCCTTAGACATTGTCTCTTTACTCCCCAACCTCTTAAAGTAAAATTAATACAAAACAATTTAGCGAACTGCATGTAATGTTTAATATCCAATATTCTTCCTCTCCTTTCATAGTTATTTCCATTACATGCCATGAGCTCGCTATATTTTAGCTCCTATTCCTCCCGTCCTTCCACTCAACCAACTCTTTTACTTCTCCATCCATTCTGCCAAAGTTCTCGCTCGCTCTCTCTCTCTGTCTTCATAAGCGTACAAGGTGAATGAACGGAAATAGAAAATGCGTGGAACAAATTCAAATGCAATTCAAGTTCAGGAATGCAAAAATTCACAACCAGTTACAAAAATAGTGGAACGTTGCGGAAAGTGGCTCTGGGGGGGGGGGGGAGTGGCCACACGTAAATACATGTGCATACATACATACATACATACATACATACATACATGCATGTACATATCACAGGCACATGAGTTGGCAAATTGAAATCTTTTTTTCGTTTTCTTTTTTGATCTCTTGCGAACGATCTCTTTGAAATCGGAATCTGTATGGGGTAAGAAGGATGTAGAACATGTTGAAAAGGCAAGAAGAAGCAAAAAAGAGGTACAATGTAGATGGAAACAGAGAGGACCCGGAAACTGGAAACATTTTTGAACAACGTTGCTACCGCTTGCAACACTACACTACTGCTTGCATCCTCCGCCCACACCCTACCGGTCAAACTTTTTGGTTTATTTGGTAGCTGTGAGATGCAAATGGCCATCTTTTTTTGGTTGTAATTAAGAAAACTGTTTAAAAATAAATTGAGTTGGTTTAGTTGAAGTTTAAGTACTCGTCTATCTACACGATTTTAAGTTAAATAAATTCCTTGGTTCAAACAAGAAAATATATTATTCGGGCATACATATTTGTTAGATAATTCCGCTCCTCATCTCCCCCCGATATACAAAAACACCACACAAAACACACCTCAACGCAACACACCTCTGTGCCGCCGATCTGCACCTCACCCCCGGAACACTACACCCAAGCAAAAGCATAAGCCTCACACAGAGATATGAATAGGTTCCAGGTTTGTAAGTGGCCCGCATATGCCTGTGCCTCTCACCATGCCGTGCACAACACCCCCTCCACCGCTCTGCCCGACACTATCAATTACCATTCCAAGTCACAGGCACCGACATGGTCACAGCCAGAGCCAGAGCCAGACATTGTTTAAAGTTTAAAATAAAATTAAATAAAATTGAACCCATATAAAGACGAGACAATGGAAAGAGACGCATGGAATGGGGGGAGGGGTGTTGAATGGAAAGGAAGGAGATCTACCGTCGCGTATTCGCGGTTTAACACACACATATGGATGTCTACATGTATGAAGAAATACACCAAAAACAAGGACAAAAACAACAACCACAAGATGTAAGAAAATGCAAGACTTATGAGAGAAGGGAGATGGAGCTTCTGCGGCCCCAGTGCGTAGGCAAGAGAGGAAAACCCCAACAGAAAGAGAACCACAGCACGTGTTGAAGAGAGGAGAGGCGGCAAGAAGAAATCAGCAGAAAAGTCAAGAAACTCGAGATTTTTGCTTCTTCTTCAATTTTCCAGAAAAAAATAAAAAATCAACTAAGAACATTTTAGCTTTGGAGGTCGAGCTTTTAATGCCCTTGCAGATCAATCGTGGCTATGAGAGTGGAACAAGGACTAATATAAACTTTTGTATAGTTCTTTACAAAAATATGTATACGATATTTACATTTGTTTTTATGTATGTAAATATGTATGCGTATGGTTATGGAATTTGCAAAAGCCTGTGTGGCAAACAATTGCTCAAAGTCATTATACGGTCAGGAAAGGGTAGAAAAAATCTTTAGATGCAAAGAGCGAGAGAGAGAGATGGAGATACCAAATGTTGAAGTCAAAGCCGCAGCCGCAGTCGTAGTGGCGGCAGCGGCGCAGCAGCAGCAGAAGCAACCTACCAACCCCACGACGACATGCCGCTGCGGCAGAGAGCCGACGACAGAAAACGACGACTCTACGACTATTAAAGAGAACGACAGCCACAGCAAAAGCAGTAAGAGCAAGCAAAAGAAGAAGAAACAGTCGACTTACACTTACTATCCCACATATTCATGCATAGCTACATGTACAGATGCACACGTATGTACATACATATGAATGTACATATGTACGTATGTATGAGCGTGCACTGCTTTTGTTGGTTTACCTCCGAGCCGAACCGAACACACACACATACAGACGGACTTAAAAACTTTGTTATTTCTTTTTTTTATGATTATTTTAGCTATTGTACAGTTCCACAGAAAATTTATACACCGCACGAACCTACACAGGCAGTCGTGGGGTGTAAGTGGGACGAGTGGGTTGGGGAGGGGCTATGGAAGGCGGGTGGAGGTAATATTTGTGAGAATATTTGCGGACGAGAATGGAATAGAACTTACACACACACTTGCAGAGAGACACAGAAAACTAGCAGAAGAACAAGAACATGCTGAAGAAGCAGAATTTGAAGAGTTTGAGCAACATTTTTCGCAGAGCGCGGATGATAATGTATCTGTGCGAATGTGTGTGTCTGTCTGCATACATATATATACGTGTGTATGTAAGAGTACTAGATACAATTTTAAATGCTGTCATTGACTTAGAAAGTATTCCAAATAATAAAACTTCGTGTTCTTAAACAACACTAAACACGACGAAACTTTTCTCGTTGCCGTGTAGGTAGTTTGTAGTCATAGTCAACCCCTCTAGTCCCTTGAAGTAAGGTACGAAGTAAGGTACGTGACGCGACAGGACGAACTCGAGACCACTACTCTGCTCTGGCCTTGCATAACAAATTGCGGTTCATCAGGCTAACATGACATTGAATTGTCATGTCACTTCATTCATTGTACTAGATACAATTTTAAATGCTGTCATTGACTTAGAAAGTATTCCAAATAATAAAACTTCGTGTTCTTAAACAACACTAAACACGACGAAACTTTTCTCGTTGCCGTGTAGGTAGTTTGTAGTCATAGTCAACCCCTCTAGTCCCTTGAAGTAAGGTACGAAGTAAGGTACGTGACGCGACAGGACGAACTCGAGACCACTACTCTGCTCTGGCCTTGCATAACAAATTGCGGTTCATCAGGCTAACATGACATTTTTAGTGAAACTGTATTGGGTGGGTGGATGCGATTATTTGCAATGGAAAAACCGTTTAATTATTTATCCAGGATTTATCTGCATTATTTACACAAACATTGAGAATTTCACTTGACTATTTCAACGGTATTCTGCTATCTAGCTGTCAATTGAAAGAAAGGAGGCCAGTTAGTTGATTTTTTAATGAAATATATGCATATAAGGGATTTCAACCGATTTTGAATGGGTTGTAGAATTCGAAAGCTGGAAATATGTACATACATATAACTTCGCAAAGATTTTAGCGAAGGATAATGTTAAATTATTCTAGAACAGGTACATATGAGAATCCGTGGATACCCCAGGGTCTACATAAAGTCTATTTTCCATAATGCGTAATCAAAATCATAACCCGCTAAATAAATCCTATTTAATGAACCCATAGGTTCAGGAAATATGGTTCAGGAATGTATGTTGTACATTGCACATATGTATGTATATACATACATACATAAGTAAATGTACATATTTCTATCGTTTGTGTACATTGTCTGCTCTTACAGCCTTGAATTTAAGTTAATTGATAGTGATATTAATCTGAGAAGCAAATTACAATTTAAAATAAGATTCACATGCTTTTAACTTGAAGGACTTTAACTTTGAAGACGCTAAAAGAGGGCTTCTAATCTCTGTTAAGAACGAGACAGATAAGAGTGTGATTCTTAGATACCAAACTGATTATGCAATAAGAGTGATGCCAAAGAATCGCTTTTAATCTGTACAATATCTCCATTACGTATTTATGCACATATGTTCATATGTAAATATGTTTGTACATTTATAGTAACATACAGACATACATACATATGTATGTACATATTAATGTGCAAAAGTATTACATTTCAAGTCTTTGCCGTGTGCTGTGGGAAGATGATGGGCCATGGAAT